GGGGAGGTGAAGTTAGTGCTGCTCTCCTCCCCTGCTGGGAATGGTGCCTTGAGGTTAGGGCAGCTTGTCAGCTATGGGAGGGCTGCCTAATGGCAGGCCTGGGACAGGAGCAAGGCTTCATTCTTGTTGGAATGAAATTTCGTGTTATCTGATCTGACAGTCCTAGGTGAGATCATCACCCAGACAAAAAGGTCTTTCAGCCCTTGGATCTGGGATGATTAGCACAGCAGCAGCCTGTGGGAAGAGCAAGTCACCAGGCCCCTCAGTAACCAAGTCTGGTTCTGTCACCCAAGTCTGGCTTTGTCACAGGGCTGGCAAGCTGCCAGGCAGGAATCCACAACTGCTTTCAGAATCCAAGGGCAGACTGGATCTTGAAATCAGTTGAGCAGCTGGACCGCCCTTGTCTGCCTCCCAGCTCTCTCCTCCGTTTGCTTTTTCCAAGCACTGAAGTAGCATCGTGCAGTTTCTTACAGTGCTGTCATCTCTGGGGACGTGGCCTCAACTGCATCCTCCAGCATGTACAGCTGTGTCCAAGCTGCTGTGGGAGATGGGGAAAAGTGCTGCTAAGCCCTGTGTTTAAAGTCACAAGCACTGCTTAATCTTAGTGTGTGTCACGGGAAACATGTCTTCATAGAGGGCAAAATAGGCATTTGGAGCAGCACACCCTGAAGCCTCCAGCAGTGGAGGAACCTGAAGCCCTTTGGTAGTCTCAGGAGGCACTAACATTTTGTGTTGCTCCCTTGCAGTGCTGTTCCCTCGTCACACCAATGCTGCTGCCAGAGACAACACCATAAACCTGATCCACACATTCCGGGACTACCTGCACTATCACATTAAGTGCTCAAAGGTACGGAGGGGATGGGGCTGGGGGAGGCAGGGTAACTTTGATCCATCTGACCTGGGTGCTGCTGGGGAGGAGCACAGGGCAGGGCTGCCCCTCTTGAGAACTTGCTAAGGTCCAGCATTGCCCTCCTCAGTCACACACACAGGATGGTAAGTAATGCACCATCACCTTTTCCCTGCTTTTTGGCACAGGCAGCACCTGTTTGCTTGCCATCCTAGCAGCAAAGTAGGATTTTTTTCCCTTTTGGATCTGGTTTCCTTCCTTTCTGGGAAGAGAAATGAGGGTAATTGTTCAGAAAGAACTGGCTTGGACAGGGCTCAGGCAGGAATTTTTGCTGTTACTTCCCAAATTCCCCTCATAGCACTACAGCTGTGCAGAGCTAGGTGCTTTCCCAACAAGGAGCAGGAAGAAAGCTCCTAGCCTGTGTCCTGATACCTCAGCTATGAGGACAAGATCTTCACATGTCCCTATTTTGTCCTAATGAAACACAGGCCTATATTCACACGCGTATGAGGGCGAAAACGTCGGATTTCCTCAAGGTGCTGAAC